GACGTTCTGAACTTCTCCACTGATATTATTACAACAAAAGCCAGTGCTTTGGAAGTCTATGAGTGGGAAAGGGTTAGGGGAGCTGGGAGGGAAGTTGTGGTAAATATTGTTTAATGGCCGAATGATATATGATCTTCACCAGAATATTCTTTCTTAACACGTTTCACCTACTTTGAACATGTGTTGTTGAACTTTTAACATGTATCAACGCATTTGTTCAAATCCGTCGTACTCTGAGCCTTACCGTAAGCCGTTACGGGTTACAAATGCCGATCGATATTTGAAGCTGGGTTATTTCAATAAACATATAAAAATAACTTGCTACTACATCGCTAACGATGGGTAAGATTAGCCTAATGAGTTTGTTTGTTTTAATGGGAAATTGAAATTGCAATTGTTTAATTTGATTTGTTTTTTTTGTTTAGTCTTTTTCAACATTACGTAAAACTCTGGATATTGTCAGCTTTTTGTACGCTATTATTAGGTTTATTTTTCTTTTTTTTAGCATTTAACAACGAACGTTCCTTTCTGAAGGTCCAGAAAGAATGCAGAACATTAACTATTGGTACCAATCTGCGAGGAAAATTTGAGGAAATCTTATTTGTAGCATGGTTACAAGTGGAGTGATTCAATCTTCTGAAAAATTCTAACGTCTTGTCGAATTCGTGAAAAATCCGTAAGCTGAGATAGCTGTCCACCCCTGCTGTCGTATAAAATAATTAGTAAACTGAAGGTTTTTTAGATTCTGAGAAGTGAGCAGTTAATTACTCCAAGTGAGTCATGGGGCTCAATGCTTCTCAATTTTATCATATTTATTATTCGTTTGTATTTATACTGCATAAAAATGCGACAAGTTCTGCGAAAACTCGTTAGTAGATGAAGGCCTACTCAAAAACCACTGCAGCAAATCTCAGTCATGAATGTAAAGAACGAGAAAGATGGCCAAAAAAAGTAAGCGGAAGAAACAAAACATATTAAAAACTGTGTAGTTTCCACTGAGACCCCTGGTATTTTTCATTTTTCAAAAAGTACCTGCCAGAAATATCAGACAAATCGGGGGATTTTTCGGTTATGTTTTGGAAGTTTCTATGAGATCGCTTTATGAAGGCAGCACCAACAGCAAGAAGTCGAAGATGGGCTTCAATCAGGTCAAAAGGTCATATCATGAAGTCTTTGGATGTGTGTGAGTATACAAGTGAATGGTGTCTTTTCATAGTACTTCTATAGAAACCTCCAGAACATTCTAAAGAAAATCAAGAGTAATTTGAAGCTTTCGGCTGATACTTCCTGAAAACTCTAATAGTAAAGCGATTTGGATCATGATTCTTTAATCACAATATAAATAAAACATCTCCGATTAATCACGATTCGTGATGATACCAGATTGCCGCATCTATTTATATATGTTTACATGGATGTGTCAGCATCCTGACGTAGATATCGCGTGAGATTAACAGCATAGTTCTTTCAGTAAAGAGTTCCCTCGGCAAATCCTTACCCTCTTCAGATTAGGGACGAAATGAAGCCAATCTAGGAAGCCAACCAAATAACGGGTGTCCCACAAAATCAATATCCTACCCTATATCCAATAAAAAATGCATAGAAGCTTGTTAGGGATTAATTTCCGATGCAGCTAATTCCAGCACAGAAATAAAATGTGATAATGAGTATTTTAGATAAAAAATTGCAGTGTCACCTTAATTTCGCGGTGAGAGTGCAAAACAGACTAGGTGCACCAAAGTTGTGCATCGTACCGATTTTGCACTTTCTCCCACAATTTTAAGGTGGAATCTGCAACCTTTCTGGATAGAAAATCCTGATTACGTCTTTCACCGATGAACGCAACTGAATTGAATATGCAAATCAAATTTTACTAGGGGGGTTATTGCAGCCTCCCACGCAATCTTGCAGCATCTGGCAGTTGTCTAGTGCTTGCACAGTGGAAAAACTCAAGTAAAATGAGTTATAATAGCTATTACAAATTCTACAAATTACTGCTTTGTTCCGAGAAAGATTTTCGAATATTACAACCCGAGAACAAGTTTCATGAAGTTAGTCAACTGCTGAAATCTTAGGAAATATCGTTTGTTCGATTTTGTTTACGGTTTATCATTTAGATTCAACAGCAACATAGAAAGTACAAGAAAAGATGAAGAAAGCTGATGGAGTCCAAAGAGTTCAAGGAAGTAAGGAGGACCACATAGGTGAAAGTACGTCATTTTCCCAAAGTAATTTTGAAATAAACCGGATATCTGAAGGATATTTACAAGCTAATTACAATTATTACTCTGAAAAACGTCACCCACGTCAGTTAAACGGAACAAACAGCCAAGTGAACGAAGCCAGAGGTGGTTATACGATGCACTGCTCATAGTCGACTGCACACAGCTTCATAGACGGGGATAACTGTTGAGAGGGAGGCGTGGCCAGGAGGGCGGAGACGCAGAGCAGAGTGCAGTGCTCTCGCCGTCTGCAGTCTCGGATCGCCACTTTCGCAGAGAAAGGGGACGGGACTTCAATGGCCATGACTCACCCCGGTGGTGTACTGCGCGGACGTAGGACGATGGGAAGGCAGCCAGACTGCTGCTGTGGAACTGGCTACTTCCCTAATTCGCTTGGCTGAGTGGCTCTCAACTCTGGAGGCACTTCTCATGAAGTCTGAACTTCTTTAAAACTTGATTTTATCAAAATCTTCCTCTAAGTCCCTCCGGAGAACATTCAGGTGCTCCTCGGAGTGGGGAGAAACTAGGGGTAAACGCATGTGGGCGTAATTTTATGAGGTTTTCCCAGTTCAGACATTTCACTATCATTTTTGAATTGGACTTTATATGATGGATTATCGTGTTTTCCCTCTATTGACATGAAATATTGCACGATCCCAAAAATAGTGTAAACATTAGTCCTTCTCGCGAAAATTGTCGAACTGCACTCACAGGGAATCCTAGCACGTGCATTTATAGACGGCTTGATGTGTCGGGGAGCTTTGAAAGAACAGTTCACGATCATTTGGAGGTACCATCTTCGGTGGAAATGTAGTTGGGGGGTGCCAGGCATTTTGTGCTCTGCGTCTCTTCACTTCTTACCCCATCTAATCATCTCACCCATCCCGGAGCTCCTCCCCTTCTAAAAGTTAGGGAAGGAGCTCCNGGAGCTCCTTCCCTAACTTTTAGAAGGGGAGGAATCCATCTCTGCGATCTGTATGTACTCTGCAGCCAGTGTCAGGGACGCAGAGCACAAATGGGCGCTGGCACCCCCCAACTACATTTTCACCCAATCTTAACTAAAAAGCGGATTCGGAGGTGCAGGGTAGTGCTTTGGTGGCGAAAGAGAGAAAAGAGAGAAAATTCGCATGAAACGTGAATCAGAACGCTACTCAACAACGGAAACGGTATGGAGAAGGAAATTGAAAGAGGTTTGAGTTTGTGTAATTGCGTAAAGAGCTGGCTACAGTAGGCCAAAATGGTAAAAATTGCTCCATGGCTGTGTTGAAGTTCAACATACGTGCTTCATTGAAAGTAGTACAGCCACTACGAAAACGTGAAAACACGGCCAACTATGGTTATGGACGTAGGCGACGTCGGTCTATGAGCCATTATTGCGTCCTAGCCAAGGCGTTTTTCACTAGGTAGCCCCTCACATGGCTTCGTCTTAGGACCACAGGGTCGTTCTGGATGGGAATCGCATGTAAAATTTCATTGTGAACTGCACCTTTGGTGATGGGGCACTACGTGTCCTGGAAAATCTCCCAAGTAGCAGAGGTAGAAATAGAAGGTTATAACTCTTCCGGAATCAAATATTGAAGAGGTTGCCGGAAGGCTTTCGAGCAACGGGGGTTGATTGATGTGCCAATTTAAGAGCCCACACAGGACTCCTCCAAAGATGGACTGCTTGAAACCGGAGCAGGAAATTTCGAAGCTTTCTGTAGAAAAACGTATCCCGACCCCACTATATGAGTCCGCCAATCAGCCCCCACCTTAA